TGTGTGTGTGTGTGTGTGTGTGTGTGTGTGTGTGTGTGTGTGTGTGTGTGTGTGTGTGCATGCCTGCCTGCATGCGTGCGTGCGTGTTCCTCACACCTGGCAGGTGGCGCCAAGTGTCCGTTGCGGCAGCGACACTAACCAAAGTTCTGCTTTCGGTTCAATCCTCACTCTACCTCTCTTATCGCAGGTCAAGATAAATAATTAGTAGTAGTAGTAACAATAGTAGCAGTAGTATTGGTAGTGGTAGCAGTAGTAATAGTAGTAGTAATAGTAGTAGTATTGGTAGTGGTAGTAGTAGTAGTAGTAATAATAGTAGTACTGGTAGTGGTAGTAGTAGTAGTAATAATAATAGCAATGTAAACCCGGGAGTGGTAGTAGTAGTAATAGTAGTAATAATAGCAGTAGTATTGGTAGTGGTAGTAGTAGTACCGGTAGTGGTAGTAGTAGTAATAGTAGCAGTAGTATTGGTACCGGTAGTAGTAGTAATAATAGTAGCAGTAGTACCGGTAGTGGTAGTAGTAGTAATAGTAGTAGTAATAGTAATAGTAGTAGTAGTAGTAATAGTAATAGTAGCAGTAGTATTGGTAGCGGTAGTAGTAGTAATAATAGTAGCAGTAGTAGTGGTAGTAGTATTAATAATAGTAGCAGTAGTATTGGTAGTGGTAGTAGTATTAATAATAGTAGCAGTAGTATTGGTAGTGGCAGTAGTAGTAATAATAGTAGCAGTAGTAGTGGTAGTAGTATTAATAATAGTAGCAGTAGTATTGGTAGTGGTAGTAGTAGTAGTAGTAATAATAAAAGTAACAGTAGTATTGGTAGTGCCTGTAGTGGTAGTATTGGTGGTGGTAGTAATAATAATAATAGTAGTAGTAGTAATAATAAATTCAACAGGACACAAAAAGGTGATTCATTATTTTATTACTTTAAAATTAAGTTAACTAGAAAACGTTCGGTCCGTCATGGACATGAATTTAATAATAATAATAATAATAATAATAATAATAATAATAATAATAATAATAATAATAATAATAATAATTTTTTTTTAAATCATAACAAACGTTATATTAATATATATATATATATATATATATATATATATATATATATATATATAATATATATATATATATATATATATATATATATATATATATATATATATATATATATATAATTATTTACATTTTAGCATCTTTCAGTAAGCATTTATTTCTCAGGTGTTCAGAATTATAATGGACTTAGGGAGCACCTAGGTATCACACACCTAGATGCTAGATAGGTGCTACTGAGAGTTTAATTCTTATTTAAGTGAGTAAAGTATTTTTGACTAGTGGTGAACAGATAATACGCAGCCTTAATTACCCTCGAGTATAAGGAAGCCTTGACTTAGGTTACCTGTGGTACTACTGACGATGATCTTACCATCAGTAACCAACCACTATTTCATATTTTTTTTCTAAATAATGTACAAGCTGCGCTAAGTATACACATTTACCAGAGAAATTAGATCGAATAAAAAAGTGTTGAATAAAAAAGTGTTCTCAAAAGGGTGAATTAGAGACCCAAGGTTCTCTTAGGAGAAGAGAAATTTACAAGCGAGTTAGAAAGCAGAGGTTCACCTTACGGGTTAGAAAGGTTCATAATAAAACAGCGATAACAAATTATATGAAATGTTAAACGAGACTGTGAAACTAAATTTACAAATGAAACCATCACTAATCCGAAAGTTTTTTTCATTCACGACAAAGATCGGGGGAAAATATCGGCCTACTTAAAGCTAGGTCTGGAGACAAAGATCGGGGGAAAATATCGGCCTACTTAAAGCTAGGTCTGGAGACAAAGATCGGGGGAAAATATCGGCCTACTTAAAGCTAGGTCTGGAGACAAAGATCGGGGGAAAATATCGGCCTACTTAAAGCTAGGTCTGGAGACAAAGATCGGGGGAAAATATCGGCCTACTTAAAGCTAGGTCTGGAGACAAAGATCGGGGGAAAATATCGGCCTACTTAAAGCTAGGTCTGGAGACAAGATCGGGGAAATATCGGCCTACTTAAAGCTAGGTCTGGAGACAAAGATCGGGGGAAAATATCGGCCTACTTAAAGCTAGGTCTGGAGACAAAGATCGGGGAAAATATCGGCCCTACTTAAAGCTAGGTCTGGAGACAAAGATCGGGGGAAAATATCGGCCTACTTAAAGCTAGGTCTGGAGACAAAGATCGGGGGAAAATATCGGCCTACTTAAAGCTAGGTCTGGAGACAAAGATCGGGGGAAAATATCGGCCTACTTAAAGCTAGGTCTGGAGACAAAGATCGGGGGAAAATATCGGCCTACTTAAAGCTAGGTCTGGAGACAAAGATCGGGGAAAATATCGGCCTACTTAAAGCTAGTCTGGAGACAAAGATCGGGGGAAATATCGGCCCCTACTTAAAGCTAGGTCTGGAGACAAAGATCGGGGGAAAATATCGGCCTACTTAAAGCTAGGTCTGGAGACAAAGATCGGGGGAAAATATCGGCCTACTTAAAGCTAGGTCTGGAGACAAAGATCGGGGGAAAATATCGGCCTACTTAAAGCTAGGTCTGGAGACAAAGATCGGGGAAAAATCGGCCTACTTAAAGCTAGGTCTGGAGACAAAGATCGGGGGAAAATATCGGCCTACTTAAAGCTAGGCCTGGAGACAAAGATCGGGGGAAAATATCGGCCTACTTGAAGCTAGGTCTGGAGACAAAGATCGGGGGAAAATATCTGCCTACTTAAAGCTAGGTCTGGAGACAAAGATCGGGGGAAAATATCGGCCTACTTGAAGCTAGGTCTGGAGACAAAGATCGGGGGAAAATATCGGCCTACTTGAAGCTAGGTCTGGAGACAAAGATCGGGGGAAAATATCGGCCTACTTAAAGCTAGGCCTGGAGACAAAGATAGGGGGAAAATATCGGCCTACTTAAAGCTAGGTCTGGAGACAAAGATCGGGGGAAAATATCGGCCTACTTAAAGCTAGGTCTGGAGACAAAGATCGGGGGAAAAATATCGGCCTACTTAAAGCTAGGTCTGGAGACAAAGATCGGGGGAAAATATCAGCCTACTTAAAGCTAGGTCTGGAGACAAAGATCGGGGGAAAATATCAGCCTACTTAAAGCTAGGTCTGGAGACAAAGATCGGGGGAAAATATCGGCCACTTAAAGCTAGGTCTGGAGACAAAGATCGGGGAAAATATCGGCCTACTTAAAGCTAGGTCTGGAGACAAAGATCGGGGAAAATATCGGCCTACTTAAAGCTAGGTCTGGAGACAAAGATCGGGGGAAAATATCGGCCTACTTAAAGCTAGGTCTGGAGACAAAGATCGGGGGAAAATATCGGCCTACTTAAAGCTAGGTCTGGAGACAAAGATCGGGGGAAAATATCGGCCTACTTAAAGCTAGGCCTGGAGAAGTTATTGATAATGATGAAGAAAAGTGATCTCTCTGTTACCAGTTACTTGCTGTCGGTCTTCGCAGAAGACACACGATATTCCACCAATAACTAATTATAGATGACTCGAAGAAAACAAATTAAACAATTTAAGTCACTAAAAACATAGTTATTAGACAAGTACTCAGATTACAACAAAGTTCCCAGGCACCACCGACAAACTGTTTTCAGTGTACTTAAAAACTTCAAGATGGAACTTAATGATCCTCAAACCAGCGTGTTCAGTATATCAGTGGGAAGTATTAGTGTGCAGGAGATGTGCAAGATGCTTCGTGTCCATCAAATTACCGCTCAACAAGCCTGACATCAACGGCAGGATAATTAGAGAATAAATTATATGCGGTATAATAAGAAGCCATATTCATGAACATAATTTGATTAATAAATCTGAACAGGGATTCTCAAGGGGTCGTTCGTGCCTCACAAACTGATTGACTTTCTTCAGTGAAACATCTGACGCAGCGGAGCATCATAAAAAATTCCATATTATTTACTTTGATTTTATTAAGGCATAGAAACAGAAACTCAATTAGCATTTTATTCCGTCTTAAAAACCATTAATGTAAACTATAAACAAGAGGTTACAGGTGAACCTCGTGGAGTGCCACTTGTGACGGTCCTTATTATCGTGTCACTCCATTTTATGCTAACTCTGATTACTATTAGTCAGCTATATCTCGCTCGAGTCCACTTTCTTTAACAATCTTCTGTGTGAGACTAATAGAGTCCCAGACCGAAAGTAAATATGCTGATAACACAAAAAAATATACTGAACAACAGTTTCTGAAAAGGACACCACTGAACTTCAGATACAGTTTCACGGTAAAAAAAAAAAACGAGTATACTATTTATAAATCTGGTGATGTAGATCTTGATCGTACAGAGTATGAAGATTTAGGAGTCAGGGTAAACAAAATCTGATGGCAAGACAGCAGTGGCTAAGCATGCATAATAAGGCCAACAGACTACTTAAGTGCATTTATATCAAGAGGTATAAGTGGAGTTCAAAGCATATTTCTAAGGCACTATATATATATATATATATATATATATATATAATATATATATATATATATATATATATATATATATATATATATAATATATATATATATATATATATATATATATATATATATATTATATATATATATATATATATATATATATATAAAGTTCTGACTCAAGACTGTGCGGTTCCATATTATGGAATGGCTATAAATGCATTGGAGAATATACAAAGAAATATGGCAAAATTAATCCACTGTATAAGGAACGTTACATGCGAATAATACACAGGTGAAGCACCTAGGTATCTTTACTGACATACCCAGGACGGAAACTTTTATTGTGGAGCCATGGAAGACGTGGAGAGATGAAGAAGTGTCAGACGTGGTCACAGGAGGGCGGGGCCCACTAGTAGAGGAAGGTCAGGCCCATAAGTTAGACCAGAGATTTAACAAAACGTTCTGCGTTACACGTGTGTCTTATTCACATTTTATACTATGAGTGCAGTAACATGTCACCTACCTTAAGAGGTAGTCAGATGTCTGCCGCAGAGTGAGCGTCTGGTATTAGCTTCCCAACGGTATCGTTCATTACATCCGGTATCCACTGTCCTGGGGAACATTAACAGGAGTGTTTTTAATTTAAGTTGATTCGACTATTTATTTACTCCATAACTCGTTTTGTACATTAACATTACCCTGGTTACTTTGAACATCTCCAGCACAATACTCACTTGATGAGGCTAGCTAGCTCTTTACTAAGTTACTTACTTGATGAGGCTAGCTAGCTCTTTACTAAGTTACTTACTTGATGAGGCTAGCTAGCTCTTTACTAAGTTACTTACCTGATGAGGCTAGCTAGCTCTTTACTAAGTTACTTACTTGATGAGGCTAGCTAGCTCTTTACTAAGTTACTTACCTGATGAGGCTAGCTAGCTCTTTACTAAGTTACTTACTTGATGAGGCTAGCTAGCTCTTTACTAAGTTACTTACTTGATGAGGCTAGCTAGCTCTTTACTAAGTTACTTACCTGATGAGGCTAGCTAGCTCTTTACTAAGTTACTTACCTGATGAGGCTAGCTAGCTCTTTACTAAGTTACTTACCTGATGAGGCTAGCTAGCTCTTTACTAAGTTACTTACCTGATGAGGCTAGCTAGCTCTTTACTAAGTTACTTACCTGATGAGGCTAGCTAGCTCTTTACTAAGTTACTTACCTGATGAGGCTAGCTAGCTCTTTACTAAGTTACTTACCTGATGAGGCTAGCTAGCTCTTTACTAAGTTACTTACCTGATGAGGCTAGCTAGCTCTTTACTAAGTTACTTACCTGACGAGGCTAGCTAGCTCTTTACTAAGTTACTCACTTGATGAGGCTAGCTAGCTCTTTACTAAGTTACTTACTTGATGAGGCTAGCTAGCTCTTACTAAGTTACTTACTTGATGAGGCTAGCTAGCTCTTTACTAAGTTACTTACTTGATGAGGCTAGCTAGCTCTTTACTAAGTTACTCACTTGATGAGGCTAGCTAGCTCTTACTAAGTTACTTACTTGATGAGGCTAGCTAGCTCTTTACTAAGTTACTCACTTGATGAGGCTAGCTAGCTCTTTACTAAGTTACTTACTTGATGAGGCTAGCTAGCTCTTTACTAAGTTACTTACTTGATGAGGCTAGCTAGCTCTTTACTAAGTTACTTACTTGATGAGGCTAGCTAGCTCTTTACTAAGTTACTCACTTGATGAGGCTAGCTAGCTCTTTACTAAGTTACTTACTTGATGAGGCTAGCTAGCTCTTTACTAAGTTACTCACTTGATGAGGCTAGCTAGCTCTTTACTAAGTTACTTACTTGATGAGGCTAGCTAGCTCTTTACTAAGTTACTCACTTGATGAGGCTAGCTAGCTCTTTACTAAGTTACTTACTTGATGAGGCTAGCTAGCTCTTTACTAGTTGCTCACTTGATGAGGCTAACTAGCTCTTTACTAAGTTACTTACTTGATGAGGCTAGCTAGCTCTTTACTAAGTTACTCACTTGATGAGGCTAGCTAGCTCTTTACTAAGTTACTTACTTGATGAGGCTAGCTAGCTCTTTACTAAGTTACTTACTTGATGAGGCTAGCTAGCTCTTTACTAAGTTACTCACTTGATGAGGCTAGCTAGCTCTTTACTAAGTTACTTACTTGATGAGGCTAGCTAGCTCTTTACTAAGTTGCTCACTTGATGAGGCTAACTAGCTCTTTACTAAGTTACTTACTTGATGAGGCTAACTAGCTCTTTACTAAGTTACTCACTTGATGAGGCTAGCTAGCTCTTTACTAAGTTACTTACCTGATGAGGCTAACTAGCTCTTTACTAAGTTGCTCACTTGATGAGGCTAGCTAGCTCTTTACTATGTTGCTCACTTGATGAGGCTAACTAGCTCTTTACTAAGTTACTTACTTGATGAGGCTAACTAGCTCTTTACTAAGTTACTCACTTGATGAGGCTAGCTAGCTCTTTACTAAGTTACTTACTTGATGAGGCTAGCTAGCTCTTTACTAAGTTACTTACTTGATGAGGCTAGCTAGCTCTTTACTAAGTTACTTACTTGATGAGGCTAGCTAGCTCTTTACTAAGTTACTTACTTGATGAGGCTAGCTAGCTCTTTACTAAGTTGCTCACTTGATGAGGCTAGCTAGCTCTTTACTAAGTTGCTCACTTGATGAGGCTAGCTAGCTCTTTACTAAGTTACTCACTTGATGAGGCTAGCTAGCTCTTTACTAAGTTACTCTTGGTACTCTAATAATTCTTCAAGAGAGTTTCTTGGGTTCTGGGGACTTGTTTAGTTATTATCGGTGTACTTTTTAAAAGATAATAATTTGGTGTAGTTTGTTTTCATCGGATTCTCTATAATTAATAACTGACGTGATTTCATTTTATATTCTTGTATGCAAAAGACAAGAAAAATTAAAAAAAAAAAAAAAAGTCTTTACCATTAATGTTTCTTGACGTAAACTAAACTTAAGTGAATCTTATATCTTTGTTTTTTACACAGGATACGTATATACCCTGAGGGATGTATCACTCTCAGTGTATGTATGCTGAGAGTTTGCTTAAATCCCTTGTTTAAAGCACTATTGTCTAGTGGTGAAAATGCTACCGTGGCCCTCGTGTAGTCGATAGGCTTTAAACCCCATTAACCAAACAACCAGGTTTTATATACGTGGAAGAAACATTTGAAGATTGCTCCTAGTCTCCAGTGTAATTTGAATTTATAATTTTCCTTTAATTCTTCTCATCCCTTTCACTGATATCCTTTCAAAGGTTCGTTGGAGGGTTAATGGGGTTTAAATCCTATCGGCTACACGAGGGTCATTAAGACTGCACGTCGCCTATCCACCACCAGTCAACAATAATTTGGTTCCTAAAATAAGGATTAATAAAACATCTCAGCACATTATATATATGTCGTGCCGAATAGGTAAAATTAGTCAATTAACAAGAACTCATTTAAAATTAAGTCCTTTCTAAAATTTTCTCTTATACGTTTAAAGATATACTTTTTTAATTTATGTTAATGTAAAAATTAATAATTTTGTACCAAAAAGAACCTTAGAAAACTTACTTAACATATATATATATATATATATATATATATATATTATATATATATATATATATATATATATATATATATATATATAATATATATATATATATAATATATATATATATATATATGCAGGACAAGCCACGGATGGGGGGGGGAATCTCTAGCTCAAGTACTTTCACACTTCTCAGTGTGTCATCAGCCACTGAGAAAATAGTAGACAATATTTAGGAAGAGATACTTCTGAGTACATGGGTAGAACATTCTGAGTACATGGGTAGAACATTCCAGTACCTCAGAGCAGGACATTTAAACGGACAAAGAACACATTGTATTCCTTTCTGTCATTATTTGCAAAGGTCACACAGAATAATAACTATCCATGTCTACAGTATCTAACTAGAAACTTATTTTCTTAAACCACATAACCGGTAATTACGATTAGAAAAAGCTTAGGGCTGACTTTTTTTTATATCTTATAATTTCATACTTGACATCTCAGAAACCCTCCTACCCCATATGGGTAGTGGGGGGATGATGGTAGGGTGGGGTTGGCACCCACCACTAACCCAGTCTAAGGGTAACCGTGGCCGGTGACACCTACGCTACTCTGAGACCTCTCTCCCTGCTTTGGTTGCTCCCTTGCAACATTGCACAGCTCCTGATGACGCACTGAGAAATGTGAAAGTACTTGAGCTAAAGACTTCCCCCCTCCCCGTGGCTTGTCCTGCATAGTTAAGATCGCCCATCTGCGATTGTTTGCACACACACACACACACACACAACACACACCACACACACACACACACACACACACCACACACACACACACACACACACACACACACACACACACACACACACACACACACACACACACACACACACTATATATATATATATAATATATATATATATAATATATAATATATATATATATTATATATATATATATGTCATGCCGAATAGATAAAACTTGCTATTTTGGCCTTAAATAGCAACGCTCTTCTTGCCGAATATGGCAAGCGAAAATTTGTGTATGCAACAATTTCGGAAAAATCATTCTGAACGAAAAAAATATATGGAGTATTATTAAATTATTGTAAACATATCTAAAATATATTTAGTTGGATTAGGTTAAATTAAACTGAGGTTGTTATAATAAGGTTAGGTAAGCTTTCTAAGGTTCTTTTGGTAGAAAATTTTACACTAATATAAATGAAAAAATATATATCTTTAAACGTTAAGAGAAAACTATAGAAAGGACTTACTTTTACATTTCTTGCTAAATGACCAATTTTACCTATTCGGTACGACATATATATATAAACATACACCTCTCGGTGTATATATCCTGTGTGTTGAAGCAAACACATTAGTGCACAATGTGACTCCATTAACGCGTCTTAAACTGCCTCTTTTCTCGTTGAAGTGATTTATTCTCTCGTTTGTCCGTTTTTCATTTTCGTTTGAGCTGTGTTGTCTGTGGAGAGTCAATGTTGCCGAGACACCGTGTACGATATTGGCACAATATAGTACTGGTAATTCTCCTCAGTACTGTTTGATGAGTAAGACACATGTCCAACAGTTCGGTATCTTTATTGTTTGGCCTACGCGGTAGGTTTCTTCAGTCAAATACAGAGACTGGATTGAAAGTAGCAGAAGTGACGAGATAAAGATGATGTAATCAGTCCATCAACCTTGTAGGAATAATCTGAGGTAGTCAGTTGCTCAGCCCTCTATCTGTGTGTTCATATGCTCCTGGGTTACCCTCCTTACGGCAGATATGAGGTGATCAATAAAGTAGCCCCTTCGTCGGCAAAATAAAACAAAATGTACCAGCCCCCGAACCTAGAAAGTGATCAAGGGAAAAATCCTTTGAGACGACACTGTCAAAGCTTTAAGAGAAGTAGTCATGGTAAAGTAATCTTCATGTAAATTGAGTGGAGTGCTGTTACTGGGTATCTTCAGTTGTCTGACTTCCTTGACGTAGACCAAGACTGGTTTTTTAGAGCAGTATATTACTCGA